TCTGTTTGATAGGAATGCTTCTATCCAGTTATGCAGGTGTCCAGAGTTACCATTGGATTTTAGTTTTAGGAGTAGTTTGTCATGTACCACTGAATCAAAGGCTTTTCAGAAGTCTATGTAGATTGTGTCTGTTGCTTTGCCCTGATCAAGTTGTGTAGTCCATATGTTTTTGCAGTGTAAGCGTTGCAGATTACAGGATAGTTTTTTTTCTGAAACCAAATTGTTTATTGGAGAGTAGGTTGTTTGTCTCTAAGTGGAGGATAATGGATTGGTTAATAATTGATTCCATGACTTTACAGGTGATGCAGCATAAAGAGATTGGTCTGTAATTTTCAACTAGGCTGGGGTCTCCCTTTTTGAAGATGGGGATGACCGTGGCTTATGACCATAGTTTTTGGCAAGGAGCTGGTCCTGAAAATTTTTCAAAGATTATGCTTAGAGGTTTGGCTATGGCAGTGGATAGCTTTTTTAAGAAGTAGGCACATATTCCGTCCGGTCCAATATATAGAGATGGTTTTAGATTGCGTAGTGCTTTTTCAACGTTGTCTTCTGTGAAATCGATATGTATTGGATCATTGTAGTTGCCTGTGGTTCGGCTAGGAAATACTGGGCATGATCCATTGCTGTTTACAAATACTGAGCCAAAGAATGTGTTAAAGAAGTTGGCTTTAATGGTGTTATCATTGCTGTCTTTACCATTTGGTCCTTTCAGGGGTGGGATGGACCTTGAATCTTTTAGTTTGTTGTTTTCAAAATTGTAGAAAGCGCAGGTAGAATTGGTGCATAGAAGGTTTTCTTCTTGTTTAATGTGATGATTAGTGCATTCAGTCTTTATCTGGTGACATAAATTTTTGTATCCATTTTTGAAGTTGGCAACGTGACCAGATTTGTTTTTCTGCCAAATAATTTCTTTTTGGATTGAAGCTTTCTTATTGTTATGGGTAATCTGTTTTTTCTGGTTTTTGGAGTTGTTATTGGTACATATAGTTTGATGACTCTTTTGACTTCAAGTAAAAATATGTTCCAATGGTCTTCAACAGTATTGCATCCAGTGAATAGAAATTGCCAATCAAGGGATGAGAGATCGTTGCTTATAAGATCATAGTTGCCTTTTTTGAAGTTATAATTGGAGATTCCGTCATTGTGATGATTTTTGTGTGAACATATGATGAGACAAAAGTCAATTATGTTGTGGTCACGGTTGGAAAAGAGTTCTTTAATCTTTATTCCATAAATTGAATTCAAACTTTTGCAGAAGATGAGATCGAGGCACTTATTAAGTCTAGTATTGTTGGATACTAGTTGTTCTAGTCCCAGATTTGTTACAGCATTATAGAAGGTTGCATGTGTGGGTTCAGTTGATATGCTAAGGGTCCAATTAATATGAGGTAATAAGGGTCCAGTTAATATGAGGTAGGTTGAAGTCACCAAGAAAGATAAAAGTGTGTGGGCAGGATGCTGCCCATGTTAGTAGTGTATTTAGTTTGTTTGCATATTTGATGTCATAATCAGGGGCTCTGTAACATAGGAAGAACTGAAATGTGATATTTAAGGACAGTTCACAGACGATGGTCTCAGGAAGAGCAAGCTCCTGAGTAACTTGGATGTTTTTTAGATGTAGGGACTTTTTATAAAAGATAGCAACACCACCTCCTCTACGGATTTCACAATCTGATCAGTAAACATGATAGTCTCTTACTGTGGTAATGGAGCTAGGGAGAGATGCGTTGAGCCATGTTTCACAGACAAATGAGTTGGCAAATTTTGCCGTATTTAGTAAGATGAGAAATTCAGGTATTTTATTTACAGGGCCTTGAGTAACTTGTATTTAAGGCCAGCTGTAGTTGGAATTGAGGTAATTGTGTGTCTAGTCTTGGGTGATGGTGGATTGGTTGAAGTGGGGTTGGATGCTGAGTTGTGAGTTGTGTGACTTACTTTTGATACAGTCAGCATGGTAGTCAATGTAGAGATCCTTTTCTCCATTGTCTAGATGGTTTTTGAGTTCTGTGCAGAGTTCATGGTAGCGGATTCTTTGCAGTATGGATAAGTCTGGTCTTGAGTGAAGTTTTTTATGGGTGGGATTGGATTTTGAAATGGCGTTTATTGTATGAATGAATATACATTTGCTGGACTCATTTTTGCAAACAATTCTACAAAATCTTGGGACCACAGAGCCATCATTGTATTTGTACTCAGGGCCATCTCTGGTTATTTCAATGATATCTTCAGGAGAGATGTTTGTCGTATTTGAGTTGCTATGATATCGCAAACATTGGTGATGTCGTCTGATTTGTTGGTGTCTTCGAGACCAAATAAGATGGCATTTGGATGTTTCTGATCATGTTCCACGGTGTCTCTGATGAGTAAGGGTATGTTATTTGTGGAATTATTTGATGGGATAGTAATTATTTGTGGCTGTGGTTTGGTGGTTATTTTTGGTTGTAGTTGTGATTGTAGTTGAGGTAGTGGCTGTGGTAGTTGTGGGAATTGATTTTGAACTGATAGATAATCACTTATCTGTGCTGTATTTTTTTTTTCAAGAGAGATTAGGCTTGCTTGTATAGTTTTTTCAAACGTCTTGCTAATTGTTCTTCTGCTGAGTGAATGAGTGATTCTATGCTTTCAACTCTGGCATGCAGGGTACTCAGTTTGTTTAGTTTAGGAAAATATGATGGACACAGACAAAAGAATGTATATGAATTTTTAACCATATCAGCTAGGCTTTTGTTTGGATTTAAGCAGGCCGGGTGGGCTTGATTGTCGCATAGGAGGCATTTGATGTTAATTTCACTTTCATTGATGGTTTCAAGATATCTGAAACATGTGCATGAAATTGGAAGGTCATTGGTAGAGATATTATTCTTTTGTTGTTTGGTAGTGGAGGGTTTGGAGTTTTTGGCTGGCATGGTCAATGCAATAGTACAGTAATCAATTACAATAGCTAGTTAATGTGATAGGTAGGCAATTACTTAATGAATGTTAATGATATGTTAGAGAACAAATCAAAAGTAAGGTTACTTATAACTAAAAATCAATCAATTGACTAGATAATTGATACATTATTAAATCTCTATCAATTCAATGAATCAGTAAATTAGTGGTCATTTAACAATTAATTATTATACTATTAGATGATAAATCAATTATTTTAGACAAATTGCTTCATCAGTATAGTTAATAACACTCCAATTAATCAATTTCAATAATCAATTTATCAATTATTCAAATCACTCTAATCAAATAATTTTGGTAAGCAACAAACAGCCTAATTAATTACATTAATCACTGATCACACTGTTCAATTAAATTCACTAAATCACTGATTTTAGTTCACAGGAATCACTAATCATTTACACTAATCAGTAGTCACACTATATGCACTAAACACTTTAATCACACTAATCAATAAAAACAATAAATCAATTAATCATTTGATAAAAATTAATTATTTTAAATAAATTGTTTTGGAGACATCATTATCTAATCTTTGATTTAGGTCTTGAGGTAGAAATTTATAAGTTTTGAGATAATGAAAGTAATGAAGTAGTATTGAGAGTCAGCTAGTAAAGGGTTATTGCTTTACTAGCTGTTGCTGATATATGAGAATAGGTTTATATCCCCTAATAAACTGGTCAAAGGCCTCTTTTCCTGGGTTAGAGAAATAGCAGTTTCTTTGTGTGAAATAGGTTTTAAAACATGAACATAGGTAACGCTTTCAAGTCCCACTTAAACTGTTTCCCTCTTTCCTCTTGAAAACAATCAGTGAGCAAGGGTTTATACTCTCTTTTTTGTTTTGTAAATTGAGTTTTTGAGATAGCAAAGATACAAAGATGCTGAAGGGGGTATCTCTGGCCTCTTATTTTTGAATTTAAACAAGTTTGTGGTTCAGAAAGAGAAAATAATTCAGGGAGAGAATTCAGGCAATCTGATTACTTATAACTTTGCTTTGATTTATTGTTGCTGTTTTCTGATCTGCTGGGAACACTCATTGTAAAAACTGTAGGTTTGGAATGTGCTGATATAAGAGCAAAACATGCAGCTGACTCTGTTCAAGAAAGGACTGCAAAATTCCTTAAAGTCTTGGTCTCTCTCTCCTCCCTCCTTATTTCTCCCTGCCAGCTGTCCATTGTGGCTATGGGGAAACTGTGTGGGAGATATTAATGGAGACATATTGTCTGGTGTGGAAGGTACTTCGATCAGCTGTGTGGGGATTTAAATGAAGTTGTGCTGTTTGCGCTCCACTGGCTCCAAGTGGCCCAGTTCAAGAGCTCCACGGGTGTGGTTAATAGGGCTTGATGGAAAGAGCTTCACTTCTTTGGGGAAAGAGAGAAGGGCTCCAGATCGGCTAGCAGGAGCTCCTCTGGTGTGATTGGGCTCCAGGGCTTCAGAATCCAGCATTTTGGGGGCTTGTTTTGGGGGCTCTGGTTTACTCATGGTTCCTGGCACAGGCGGCAGCTTTAAAGGTGATTTCTGGTGCAGGTGCTGGCTTTATAGGGAGATAGTGCTTCAGGAGCAAGAGCCTAACCTCCCTAGTTGGGTGCCGCCATCTTCTATGTATCTTTAATTTTAATATTTAATTTAAAAGGAAATAATTTAATCTGGTTTGTTTACACTTAGCTCTATTTCCAAAAGGGACATACAAAAGTTGCTAATGTGAACAAAGTAAAAAAATAAATGCAGAGCACATCATGAGAAAGGCAGGACTAGATAAATCACAAGTTGGAATTAAGATTGCTGGTAGAAATATCAACAACCTCAGATATGCAGATTATACCACTTTAATGGCAGAAAGTGAGGAGGAACTTAAGAGCCTCTTGATGCAGGTAAAGAAAGAGAGTGCAAAAGTTGGCTTGAAACTCAACATTAAGAAAACTAAGATTATGGCATTCGGCCATCTCAATTCCTGGAATATAGATGGGAAAGAAATGGAGGTAGTGACAGATTTTATTTTATTTTATTCAGCTCCACCAATTCCTGAAAAGGGTCTCATTTAATAACAGTGCTGGGGATAGGATTGTGTTCAACCAGAGAAGGGAATTGATAGTTGGATATGATATTATAAACTGGGTCACATTCCCAAACCAATCCTTCCAACGAGTGAAAGTAGGGAAACTGGATCCCTGGGTTGAAAAAGAAAAATTCACCATTCATGATGAAGTCATCACATGGCACAGCACTTTCAACCAAGTAGGTTCTGATATTTTTACTTGCATGATGAAGTGTTATCCAAAAATAACTCAATCAAATAGGTTCTGATATTTTTGCTTGCATGATGAGTTGTTATCCAAAAATAACTCTATCATTTTTACAAATAAGTTTTGAGCTTTTTCTTGTGGCACAAGCTATTTGAAATACAATTTATAGAGAGTTATTTCAGAAATAAAGCATGGTGATATTCAATAAAAAATTTAAAAAGAAAGACTAGTTGCTGATTTATTTGAAAAACAATTAAACATTTAGAAGAAAAAATATATAAGAAGTTTAAAAGAAGCTGAAAGACTACCAAGATGAATTAGTTCAGATTCAATGTCAAGTCTGATTGATGAATTCCCACATAATATTACATTAGTTTTGTATTATGATAATAATCAATGAGCCAAATTGTCTTTATTAGACATAGGTGAGGAAATTTTGTGGCTGTGGGGAGGAGAGATGAACCTACTGGCTGCTTTCATAAGCGTGCTGCCAGATTTAGTTTTTGATTTCCATTATTTAAATTCTACCTAAACTTTGAAATATTATCACTTGATTATCAGTTTGTTTCTTGTGAAGGCCGGATTCCACCATAATAATCCCTGCACTAATATTTACATCCTGTAACAACTTCATGTTTAATCTGGCAAGGAAGGATAGAAAGGATTAAATGCTTCCTCTTTGAAATACGTCCATCCAGATGTTGGATTTGGCATCAGTTGCAAACCTTATGCAGGAGAAAAGCTGTGATGTGAAAATTCTGTTGCAAATCAGAATCTGGGTTCACAAATTAGGTGTGGTGATTCAATCCTGAATCAGAGTCTTGGGATCAAGCTGTCACTGCATTTTCATTTAAAGAGTGTAATCTCTTTTAAATATGCTCTCTTTAATCTTTAATCTTTACCTATATACCAACCCTTGTAAATGCCTTTATTATATGCCACACCATTGTATTAGCATATAAAGTATGTAAAGTGGCCAGAAGAAATTTTAGCTATGAGTACAACTAAGTTAACTTTAGCATGCTTCCAGCTAAGAAGAAACAATATTACTGTATATAACTTCTCCTATTAATAGAACAGAAGAAAAAAAATGATTCTTGAATAATTTTGATGATAATGTTGATGAGGAAAAAACCTCACAATTATAATCCTATTATTTAAAATGCCAATTAATCATGATATTTTAATTATTTTATCAAAAACCTGATTGAATGCTAACTTTAATTCAATTTTTGGGCAGACACTACCTGTTTCTGTGTGTACTGAAAGCTGCCTTCCTGGTTATTTCAAGAAAAAACAGGAAGAGAAGCCATTTTGCTGCTATGATTGTTTTCCATGCCCCAGAGAGAAAATATCAAGACAGAAGGGTAAGAGGCCTTGTGAGCAAAATTCATCTTAATAGTGTGAAACCACACCAGGATTTAACATAACACATGTAATTGTAGGGAACATTTAGTTGTTTATTTATGTGGTTATTAATTTATTTAGACTTCATATTTAATCCAATTTTGGTCATCACAATATTAAAAAATATTGAGACTCTGGAAAGAGTACAGAGAAGATGATCGGGGGTGGGGGGTAGAGTTTAAAACATATGAAGAATGGCTTCAGGAATTGGGTATCTCTAATTTAATGAAAAGAAGGAATACATATGACATGATGGAATATTATTTGTTGGCCATGTGTGATTGGACACACAAAGAATTTGTCTCTGGTTCCTAAGCTTTCAGTGATAACAGTATTCCAATCTTGAAGGGATTGCTAATAAAGATGAGATGATCAACCTATTCTCAAAAGCACTTTAAGGCAGGACAAGAAGCAGTGGATGGAAATTAATCAAAGAAAGAAGATACAAGAAGAAAATTCCTGGCAGTTAGAATAATTAATCACTGGAACAGTTTCAGAAATTGTGGATGCTCCAACACTGGAGATTTTAAAGAAGAGATTGGACAACCATTTATCTGAAATGAAATAGGGTCTGATGCTTGAGTAAGGGATTGAACTAGAAGACCCCAAAGGTCCCTTCCAACTCTGTTATTCTGTTAGCATTCTTATTTCTATACATTAAATGCTATCTTGATCTGGTTTACAAAATAATTCAAGCAATTAATAGATTTGGCGAAAGTAACACTAGTGCTTTTGGCTTCTCTTCTTTCTTTAACTGTGTTAGAAAATATCCACTATAAGCTTTGTTTTACTTGTAAATATGAATATTCATATGGTTTTATTCTATTTTACTTTTTAGAAGCTTACATGCTCATCTGCATTATATAATACTTTGTGGCACAAAGTAATATTACATTAAAAACCAAAACAGAATAAATAAAGCAAATGAACCCTTTAACAACCTGAATGTATTCTAACCACAGACATCCAATGTCACATACTCTTCCTCAGTTAAAATATTAGCTGGGGGTCAATAACAAACATGCAGCAAATTTTACACCTGTTAAATAGAACAAGCAAATAAATGAAAACATACAAAGTATAAGAACAGGGTAATAACCATGAAAAGGGGTCTTTTAAGAGAATAAAGCATTTTCTGAATTTCCTCAGCCTGATCTTCTAAGTAAAAACAATCCTTAACTCCATTTGGTGAGAAAGGTATAGTTAACTAGAAGTCAAGTGAATTACAGTAATGCAAGGCCAGAACTGAAGACACAAAAACCTTCCAAGTCAAACTGTTTCTTCGCTTAGGTGCTCCCCCATACTGACTCTCATATCCAATTGAATTCAAAAAAGATGTTTTTAAAATGGACATCTCTAGTAAAAGCTGATATGCATCTATTTTCCATCCACCCAACCTTGAGAAATGTGCCTCAGGAGATACAGTGAGTTTTATTACCCTGGAAACCCCCATTCCCCACCAAGTTTATGGCACATAGTGATAGTGAAGCAAGAATGAAGTGGCAGCTGACAACCATTCTAAATTCTAAGTCATTAATGCCACAGTAGAAAATTAGATAAACAATAGCAGCTTAGGGTATCAAGGTACATTGTAATGTCATGACCAATTTTACTCTGTTCTGTTGTTCTCATTTTATTTCTATCATTCTCATTTTACAAAAGAACTTGTTATGTATTTTTGTTAATAATGTATTTCTATCTTGATTATATTTCTCTTTTGTTCATTTTTTTCTTTATCATATTACAAAGATTATATATATATATATACACACACACACTGATTACTTAAAAAATATATTCTTAAATTCAGACATGCGGGATTGTTCTGAATGTCCAGAAGAACAATATCCAAGCAAGGACAAAGATTCATGTCTTCCCAAAAAAATATCTTTCTTATCCTATGAAGAACCAATGGGGATAACTTTAGTCATTCTGGCACTTTCTCTTTCTTTTTGCACTTTTGGAGTGCTGGCAACATTTTTGAAGTACCACCATACGCCCATTGTCAAGGCCAATAACCGAAATCTCACTTATGTTCTACTCATCTCCCTCCTTCTCTGCTTCCTTTGCTCACTGCAGTTCCTTGTTGCACCTGGAAATATAATATGTCTCCTTCGACAAATTAGCTTTGGCATCATCTTCTCAGTGGCCGTGTCTTCTGTGCTGGCAAAAACTATCACTGTGGTTCTGGCTTTCATGGCCACCAAGCCAGGATCCAAGGTGAAGAAATGGGTGGGAAGAGGCTTGGCCACATCCATTGTTCTTACTAGTTCCTTGATTCAAGCCGGCATCTGTGCTGTATGGCTCATCACATTTCCCCCTTTCCCTGAAGTAGACATTTATTCAGAATTTGAAGAAATTGTACTGCAGTGCAATGAAGGCTCAGCTACCATGTTCTACTGTGTTCTTGGCTACATGGGCTTTCTGGCAGCTGCCAGTTTCACAGTAGCTTTTTTCTCCAGGAAGCTCCCAAGCAGTTTTAATGAGGCCAAATGTCTCACATTCAGTACTTTGATCTTCTGCAGTGTGTGGCTCTCTTTTGTTCCTTCCTACCTGAGCACCAAAGGCAAATACATGGTGGCCGTGGAAGTTTTCTCCATTTTGGCCTCAAGTGCTGGGTTTCTGATCTGTATATATTTCCCAAAATGTTATGTAATCATTGTTAGGCCAGAGTTAAATAAAAGAGAACAACTTATTAAAAGAAAAAAATGTTAATAAACACACAAAATTATTTCAACATTTCTGTCATGTATTATTTCTCATTTCATATATTTGTTATTTGTATCATTTATATTCATCTCTCATGTATTGTTTTGTGAGGTAATAAATAAATGGAAAATGTAACTATTTAAACTGGAATTATTCTGTCATAGAAAATATAATCGTAGTCTGTGAATCAGCCTTCATTCCATTTGTTTTGAAGAGAGTGTGATTGTATTTATTTTGCAGACTGAAATTTATTTACAATCCAAATCGATTCAAACTATTTATTGATTCAATATTCATTTTTAGAAAAAAAAATGAGCAGTTTATAATAGGAAAGCATGAAGATCCACAATCAGATTCAGTAGTTTGAGTCACAGCCAGAATCCTTCCTTCTTTTCTCTCTCTCTTCCTCCCTTTCCTCTCTCCCTATCTTCCATACCCTTTACTCTTGTTATAAACCAAGTTTCAATATCCCATATCCCATATCTGTTACTAAATAGGTTACTGTCACTGAATTTTTAGGAAACTAGAAGCAGTTATTTTTTTAAATTGGTAGCTTTTATTGCTGGTAAGTAATTTTTGTTAGAATAGGAGCTGTCTACAAGACAGTAGTTCTGGCTTTCATGGCTGGTGAGCCAGGATTCAGCATGCAAGAATGGGCAGAAAAAGGACTGAAAATCTACATTGTTCTTTTCTGGGGGGAGGGTTCCAAGTAATTATTTATATTGTGTGGTTGTCTTCTTCCACCTTTCTAGGTGTTGACATACGTTCAAAATTAGAAAAAACTATGCAGAAATATAATGAAATTTCATTTGTTATAGTTTAGTGAATCTTGGATTTCATGGGCTTATATTTTATAATGGTTCTTCTAGCCAAAATGCTATCTAGCACTTTCAACAACCTAAATTTACCAGGTGCAATATGTTGCCCTTTTGCAGTGCTTGGCTATCCATTGTTCCAACTTACCTTGACATTAAGGGAAAATATCTAATAGCTGTGCAGGTTTTCTTCATGTTGTTTTCCACTGCTGGATTGCTGGGTTACATATTTTTACCAAAATGCTACAAAATTATTTTGAGGCCTGAGCTGAAGAACAAAAGAAACCAATAAGAAACCAATAATTCAAAAAGTAATGGAATTCTTTTTCAGTTTCCCGCCTGTTCAAAATGTCCATTTTCAATTTAGGATTTAAAATAAAATATTTGCCATTTCTCTGAGTGGATTACGTGAAGTATTTTTAAAGGAATATTTAAAGTCATCTTTTTTTCCTTTTCCTTTTATTTTCTTTTTTCTCTCAGGTGGGAGGGATAGGATACCTTCCACTTACTGCTGACTTATGACTATCTGGCTAGTTTAAAATACAATTTTTTTGACTGAATATCTAACTAAGCTCATCTAGCTTAGTTCTGATATTATTCAAAAAGAGCTTGATTTTAAGATTCCAAGCTAATCACAAAAGTACATTTCAAGCCAATTTGAGAGTCAAGATTTGAAAACTGTTTCAGGCATGGATTATTATGAGAAAACAGTAATATGTAAAGCTGTTATGTCACTGCCTTCTTCTCTCTCTTTTCTCCTTCTTTTGCAAATTATATAAAAATAATGTGGATACAAGCTTCAAAGCCATATTCTTTTCCTGCTTTTTCAGGAAAAGAAAACAGCAAGGACGATTAAAGAATGGCATATATTTGCGTTGTGACCAACAAATTGTGTTCAAAAAAGATTTCAAGTGACAAGTAGTGCAAATTTATATATATATATATATATATATATATATATATATATATAC